GGACATCATTTTGATTTATTGTGAGAATTTTTAGAGATATGAGTTTCCATTTTAAAACCTCATCACCATGTTAAATGTTTGTTTGCTTGAAGGCAAGCAAAAGCTAAGTGTGGGGGTGTAGATAGCTTGCTATATTAGAGCATTTTAAGCTGTATTTCATGCATCTTTTCCCTTGTTTTTGCATTTTAGTCTCATTTGCTCTTAGAATCAATATTGCATGCATTTAGTTTAGGATTGCATACATATGCATACATACGCATGTTTGTGGTGCTTTTCAGGTGTTTATGGAGGTTTTACAACTTAGGAAGGAGATTGGAGCAACATATATTCGAAGAAGATGCCATGGGGAGGAGTCTTGCAAACTCTGTGTCCATATCGAGGAAGAGCATCGAGCAGAACACCCATGAAGTCTGCCTGATGTGGATCGTGGGAAGATAAAGAAGAATTTGACCAAGGACTCCGAGACTGCACTGGGGTAGTACATCGAGCTAAGCATGTCGTACAAGCCGATACGAAGAGACAGGGCATATCGAGGTCCAGCATCAAGCTGAACACCCGACCACCTGCCCGATACAACCTGAGACTTTCTGTATGCAGAGTAACCAGTGAGTAACCTAACCGCGGCGAGAGCTATTCTACATCGAGCTGGATACATCGAGCAGAACACCCACTGATGCACCCCGATGCGTCAACGCCGAGAGTTGACCAAGCTTTTTCTACTTTTTGTCGAACCTTATCTTTTTGGCTTTTTAAGCTAACCTTATATTTTTAGCACTTATCTTCTTCCTTATCCTATTTTTCAACCTTGTGGGAAACCACAAAGAGATTTTTATGGGATTTTGATCAAGATCATCTTTATAATAAAATTTTGCACTTCCTTTGTCACTTTCCTTCTAGTTTTTATTTGATCATGTTTGATTTATCATTGCTGCTTGTTTCTGTTGATAGCATGATGTGTTGTGAGAAGTTTCATATGGTTTGAGGTTAGAGCAGATTTGGGGATGATTGGTTGATAACTTCAGGAGTTTTGGTTTGATTCATGCTTAGAATCACTTAGGCTTAGAATCACTTAGCTTAGTTGATCTTAGTGCTTAGTAACTCTTTTTGGGTGAAACTGATCTTAGGTGTTTGCTGCATCAAAAGTGTGTTTAAATGCTTGAAATACCTTTGTTAGGAACATTCTCCTAGATAATTATATTGCGTTTGGGTAGCATGTTTGGTCTATAAAAGTTTTGTGTTTTCATGTTGGTTTTGTACAAATACGCCATCGCAAGTGGGTCTGGCATGTGCTTAACTTAGACATCTTTGCTCTATTTGCAGATTGATTGATTTAGTGGCTTGATCATGTTATTAGCTTGTTATTGGTCTTGACTACCCTAGGTTTGATACTAAGTAATCCTCAAGTCATCATTCCTTTAGCCTTGAACCTGCGCTTTATTGTTCTTTGCATTTGATCATTTTGTGTTCTGCTTTTCTCTTTTTTTAGTTGCTTTGCTTTAGTTCCACTCCTTGTCTTGCATTTCAAGTTATTGCATTTAGCATTTATTTTGGTTCTTGCACTTTCATTGCTTTGTTTACCTTTGTCCTGTTGCATTTAGATCATTGCCTTGTTAGTTTCTGTTGCATTTAGTTTCTCTGCATTGTAGTACTTGCTTTAGTCTTGCTAGATTTCCCTTTTGGTTGTGCATTTCTTCTTTGATCATTTAGGTTGTTAGATTATCCTTTTTCATCATATTTGTTAAGCTTAGTTAGTACCTTGCATCTCTATTATGCTAGCTTCTAGATGAATTGATAAACCTCATCTATACTACATCTGATTTAGAGAGGGATTGAGTTAAGACTTGCAAAATCCCTTCTTCACCTGGTAGTTTAGTTTTTATTATCTTGCATTTAATCTCATCTAACCATATTTAACTTTAATCAAATGGGATTAAACATGGTTAGTGAGCAGTTTATAGGAGAGGGATCGGAACTAACCCGACCAGCAGGTGGATCTTCTTTATAGGTGTCGTCGTTAGACTTCTCTTGTTCATCATTCTTTGGGTCCTTCATCTTTGTAATGGTTTTCTTCACAGCCATGACCTTGCCAGTAAGGTCCTTTAACTGCAAATTGCACGCCTCAAACCCAAGCTGCATTTCCACAGACAATGTTGTGCAGGAGTCCATGATATGTTTTTTAATCGTCTCCACCAGAGTCTTCAAACTCTCCTCATCCATTGAAGGAGTATCAACTGGACACGACCTCTTCCAGCTTTTATCGTCAGATTCGACGCTTCTTTTCTTGCCCGTTGTGGCCTCCGACTTGACGTTGTTCGAATTCAAAACACCATGAACCCGCCAATCACTTGACTTCCACTCCCAACTATCAACACTAAACTTCCCAAAAGTTACTTTCAAAATGTTCCCCATCGGGACTCGTCTACCTCATCATCTCAAGTTGTGAATATCGTTCATCGCCTTCACAGTAAAGTTGTTGAAACTAACCTGCCAAAATTCGGGAGATACTAGTAAGACAAAAGAAGCCTACATGATAAGTCTACAGAAGAAGTTTATACAAGAAGTCTACTCGAGAAGTCTACAAACAAAGTTTATCGAGAAGTCTACAAACGAAGTTTACACAAAGTCTACGAAAGATGTATACACAATAAGGTAAATTGAATGCAGTTTTACCTGTTTAAACAGAGCCTCTTTTATGTACTTTCGTCCTCGAAAACCGCTGTAAGCCAGAACCGGTGGAGTTGGGTTGTTGAGAAAGGGATTTCCGTACTCAGCTCCGAATTCCGGCATAGCATTAATACGCCCAGACTTGTAGCACTTCAGCAAACCTCGGAAGCGTATATATTCTGGTCAAATTCTCTTTTTTCACTGAATCGATTACAATCTTGAAAGCCACTCTTCCCCACGGGTAATTTTCAAAAGCCTCTAAATTCATGACTAGCCTTGCCAGTTTAGCTTGTGTGGGTGAGGCCCTTGTACGTCCTCCAATGAATCCAGCATAGATGGATAAATATCCTAACCAAAGCCTATCCTCCCTTGTCCAGGCTCCATCATACTTACACACTTTTGTAAGTTTGTCAGCACTAGGACCAACCTCTACATTAACACCAAGCTTCTCCCAAAATTCTCTCATCTCAGGAGTAAGATCAGCTTGTGGATCCTCCAGATTTGCAACGCACTCACAGTTGAGACCAGTGAGGGCTTCAAACTCATTCAGTGAGAACCTCAATGGGTTTACACCGATCAAAGTCCATATCTCGTGCTTCTTCTTGCACTGAAGCTAAAAGCCGAGTAGGAAGTGAACCACCCTCGATGCCCATCCAAAGTTCAGTTTGTAGAATTTTAGAAATACGCCCAGCTTTGATTTCAGCAACTCTTCCCATTCATTGGTTCTCAATACTGCTTCCAAGGCAGGAAACAGCTTCGATTCATTGTTGTAGTAGCCTATGCTTTTAGCCGGTAGAAGCTCATCTTCCTTTGTGTATAATCTATTTAGGAATTGGGGCTTCTCCATCCTGTTAAACAAATGGGCGAGCCCGAGTAAACTTGTAATAATTAATGTCTTCGTGACTGAAGTCTGACTGCGAAGTCTACGAATATAGTGTGCTTAGGAAGTCTACATAAAACCTTAGGTACAGCTTACCTTTTTCGAATCCTGAAATAACTGAAACCACACAAAGTCAACGGAGACAATCAAAGGCAGATCTGGAAAACCAAACAAAAAATATCAAATTTTGAAGACGAAATTAAAATATATGATGTATAAAGGGATAGTAATCCATAGATAGAAACAAGAGGCTCCAGTATATCTAGGGTAAATATTATGACATACAGAATGGGGGATGAAGAAAAATTACCAGCAGCAGCAACATAAAAGTAACGGCTAAGAGATAAGAGATAAATAAAAATTGATTAAAATAAAGGAACAGAGATAAGAGGTAAATATGCAGATGAAGAGATATATAGAAAAATGCTGAGTGAGAGAGAGGAACATAGATTACCTGCAGCGACGATGTGAAGAGGCGGCGACGACAAAGACAGAGATCGTGTAGAGGCGATAGAAATGACGACGGTGACAGAATCTTCCAAGATCTACAGAAAATTAGTGTTATTTAGAGAGTAAATTCTCTACACTGTAAAACCATATATATATATATATATATGTCGGTTAGACTGATCAATTTACCAATAAACTGGGTCTGGTAAATTCCAGTTCCGGGCAGTGTTGTTATTCCCGGCTTGGTTTAATTTGAATTGCAGACTTCTGTAGACATCTGCAATTGAAGTTTACAAGAGAAATGTACTCATTCAGGCTGGTTTATTCCAGATTTTCTGGTTCCCGCCCAATAAGTTGAAGAATTTGGTATTCCCACTTGGTTTTATTTGAATTGCAGACTTCTTTAAACGTCTACAAGAGAAGTCTACTTATTTGATTTGATTGGGATTCGCACGGGTTTATTCTGGATTTTTCTGGTTCCCGCCCAATAAGTTGAATAATTTGGTATTTCCGCTTGGTTTTATTTGAATTGCAGACTTCTTTAGACGTCTACAAGAGAAGTCTACTTATTTGATTTGATTGTGATTTTCGCCGGTTTATTCCGGATTTTTATGGTTCCCACCCAATAAGTTGAATAATTTTTTATTCCCGCTTGGTTTTATTTAAATTACAGACTTCTTTAGATGTCTACAAGAGAAGTCTACAAGAAAAGTCTAAATAAGAAGTCTACAATACACATATTTTTGGAATCATATTCGTGTAGATGAATTTCAAAAGCTACGATGATATACTAAGATCTACTCAAGCTAGCACAAAGGCAGATGATCAAAACTACAAGGACTAGAGAAGGAACAATCACATTCCTCAGCTCGAGGCATCTCAAACGCTTCTTCTCTACAATTAGCTCTTTTAGTTGAGCTAGCTCTGCCTCAATCCGATTCTGTACTTCCTGTTCATTACCATTTTGGAGGACACGAATACAGTCTCATTGGTTGCTCTGGGCACATCATAGCTCTTGAAATTCCTCCATCACAGCCTCATCCCACCACTTGACTAGATGAGGGAGACCATACTATACAAGAACAACATAATACATACATTTCTTTTTTCGTATACAATTTTGTTACAAAACATAGACACTAAAACAGTCTATTTACCTTATAATCCTTGCATCCAAAGAACATCCTACCAGGATATTCTCCTGTACTGTCCATTGGTCTCAACATGGTAAGCAAACCGCAGTAGAATCTGTTAGGAATTCCAAAACTCATAGATCGACATAAAGGAGTAGAGCTCACTTCTGGTTCTCTGTTACTCCACAACCTTCTAGAACTACTTGAAGGTTGACTGTAGCTGTATCGCCCCATTCCTATGTTCGAATATGGACACAGATCTGCAACAAAGTAAAGGGAAATGTTGAAACTCAGATTATAAACCCGATATGAAGACCAGATGAAGATCCACTGACAGAAAAATACGAACACAGCAAAATAAAAAAATTAGATGAACAGCTTACTACTAGCACAAAAGGAAAGCGAGAGGAGGTTGATGGCGAGAGAGAGAGAGAGAGATGAGGGAGATTAGATTCACGGCGAGAGAGATGAGGTTCACGGCGAGAGAGAAAGGAGAGGAGAGGGAGGCGCCGTTTTATAGAGAGATATATTTTCTTTTTAACATAATTAGGTTAAACTCTGCTTATATATAAAGGTAAAGTTTCCAGTTCAGTTTAAAAAAATTATGTTCCGACCTTGTTAAAAACAATGGAATTTCTGCTTGCTTTATTTTGAATAACAGATTTCTTTTGACGTCTAGTAATAAAGTCTGCTAATGAAGTCTACTTTGAACATGTAACCATAAATCAAATATTTTAGTTTTGTTATCATAACCCTAAACATTAATTTTCTTAGCATTTTCAAAATTTAAAATTAAAATAACAATGATATGGACCATAAATCAATAACCAAATCATAAACTATGATTCATATACAATTTGGGTTTACCCTAACAATTGTATTCTTATAACCTAAACTTTAAATCTCAAATCCTAACCCTTTTGAACCTTAAACCCTATCCTTTTCACTATCTAAAGTTAAAATAACAATGATATGGACCATAAATCATTAACCAAATCATAAATTATGATTCATATACAATTTTGGTTTACTCTAACAATTGCATTCTTATACCCTAAACTTTACACCTCAAACCCTAACCCTTTTGAACTTCAAACCTTAATTAATCCTTTTCAACTTTATACTTATGAAACTTATAAATTGATTTATTTTCATGAAATTTTATTTAAAATAGATGACAATTGTCTATGTTTTGGTTATGTTTATAATTTTTGTATCATAATATTTTTATAATTTTAGTAAAAAGAAAATAAGATTTAATTATGTAGTAGACTTCTATAGTAGACTTCTAAGGGGTTGTATGTTTTCTAATTAATTTTCTTTCTGTATTTAAATTGATTCCTTTGTATGAAATTTTGTATTCTATACATGTCAGATATATATATCTTACTTATGTTTACCAATTTATTAGAAATTTATTTATTTTATATTTTTGAGTTAACTTTTAAAAACTAATTATGTAATAGGCTTCTTGTGAAGTCTACATTAATAGTCTACAAAAATAGACTTTTTTAGAAGTTTAAAATAATATACTTTTTCATAGACTTTCCTAAGGATAAAATTGTAACTTTGAGAGATGATTTTTGTTTAGTCACAAATGACTGAACTGTAATTTCACTACTTTTTTGGATTAGTTTTGCCAAACATTCAATCTGAACCATGTGTTGAACATCATTCCCCATTTTCGCCTAACTCTAGATGAATGGGTGTTAAATGAGGTAAAGACGGCGAACTCTTATTCTTTTTACCACTCAGTCTCCAAATTGCCCAGCTCTTAGCAGTGTGACCACACTACCGGTTGCAAGTAATATAGAATTATGTGGTCCATAACCTAAGTTTCTTGAATCTGAAAGATTCATCCAGATTCAAGAACATGTGCTAAAATTTGGTCACTTAGTTGATCTGTTAGCATAAAAATATCGATATCTATCCCGAACAATATTAATACATTTTTATGGTATTTTTATTGTTGCTAATTTAATTAAAAGAAACCAATTAAATATTAATAAATCAAAATTTCATATAAAATAATATTCAAACCAATGAAATTATTACACGTAATTTCATTTATGGAATTTAAAAAAAATAACTAATATATTAAAACCTATACAGAATTTAAGTAATCATAATATTAATTGGCAAGCAAGTTGGATTGTGGTTGAGAGTTATTGTGGTTGATTACTCTTTAGCCCTCGTATAAATTTATTTTAATTACTCAAATCTATTAATTATTTATTTATACTAAATCTAATTATTATTTTTACGGTCAAATTTTACTTACGGTTTATGTATTTATGATACTTATTATTGTTGGTTATCTAGGTTAGATGTCGGTTCAGAAGTAGACCATCTTATCATATTTCTTTTATTTAAACTATCGATTAAAAAAAACAGACTTTCTCAAGAATTATATATACTAATTAAACCTAAGTTTCTACTATTCCAATTCAGAATCAGCCGCTTATCGCTTTTTTCTTTTATCATTGATCTTTTTATCATCAATTATGTTTTAGTTATGTTCATGCATATAGTTTTAATAACTAACATGAATGTTCTTTATTGATTTGTTGGTGTTCATATTCCCTTTTGTTTTCTTTGCTGTGAGATTAATAAATTCTTGTTTTTATGTTTTCCAGAGTTCGTATAGAATTAGGGTGATAATCATGAAAGAGCTTTTGATTTGAAGTCCGGATAATACTGAAACCAAACTTGAGGTTGGTTAAATATTTTGATACTTTAGATGTGTTTGTTTTTTTGTCTTAGTTTTTTATCGTGTTTACTAATCCCTAAACCTCTATTGTTTAGGCTATTTTAGTTCTGTTTATGATTGTTTAAATGTTGTTGCAGTTGTAGACTTACTTTTTTGATTGTGTCTTTTTCTAAGGGTCGAAACATGGGCAACTAAGGGATTGAAAGCAAAACTTTTAAAAGGTGATTTGTATTTGTTTTAGAGTCCGTATTTCCATTTAATATGATCCAATATTTGTAAAAAAAAATTGTATACCTACTTTATTGATTCACTCTTCTTAATCCATCCTATGGATGTTTTATCTTCTCCTGAAGAACATGAATAACACAAACCTGAGACATGTAGATGAATAAGGAAGATTAAGAATCTTTCCTTACAACGACTTCAAAGCCTTCCATGGTTACAAGGTTTGAATCAAAATCTCCTTTCTAAATTTTTAACTTTTATCTTCCATTTTTGTTCTGGTAATTCAACTCTAGATATGGTTTCTATTTGGTTATTAGAGGGGATTTTTCAATTTGTTTTTGACTATAAAAGAGTCGAAAGAGTACTGATATCACTATAGTTCATATTAATTGTATATGGTATATGATTGCTTAGAAAAGTTTCATTCAAACGTAGCAGATGATAATTGTACTTGGATTTAGATTCTCCATCATAAGTGGAGCAAACACTGATGCTACTTATTTACGCATATTACAATAGTAACTCTCGATGCATCTTTCTTCCTCAACACTTCAAACCATTGATTCAAATCAAATCATTCTCTTTAGTTTAATCTCACTGAGTACTCGGTTGTTTTGATTTGTATCAATCTATTAATCTGAAAAAAAAAATTCGTCATATATGAACTCTGAAGGTTTATATGGCAGGATGCACCTTTTGTGCCTTTTTTATATGCCTCAGGAAAATCAATAGTACTAAAAATAGCAAAGTAGGTCAAGATTGTACGATCTATCAAAGTTCTTTTGTTTATAGAATCAGTTTTGTTTATATATGGGAACCGGTAGCTGTTTAGAAATCAAATGACATCTGAAAGCTCACGGAAACTAAAGTTTTGATTGAGTCTTCATATTAGAAAATATTTCGTATTTTGTAAGAGAAGAAAAATAACAAGAAAAAGAGGGAAAATTAGTCTAAAAAGAAAAATATCTTTAAGATGAAGTACAAGAAAAAAAGAAAACCAGAAGATGATAAAAACAAATTATAAGAGGGTGAAGATAAGGAAGAATACAAAAACGAGATAAATAAAAAGTTGAAAAAATAAGATATGAGAGAAACCAGAAGAAGACGACAAATAAAATCAGAAAAAAAATAAAAAGTTGTAAGAGATGAAGAGGATGAAGCATAAAAGGAGTGAATAAGATAAAAAAGTGAAAGAAGAAGAAGACAAAGTCAAATTAGATGAGGAAGAAACTGTAAATAAAAAAAAATAAAAAAACCGAAAGATGAATAAGAAACCAAATGACGAAGACTATTAAGAAGAAAAAAGAGAAAACATGAAAGAGTTAGAGATGAAGAAAACCAGAAGAAGATGAGGAAAAAAACTGGATCATGACGAAGATAAAAGTGTAATAGTGATAGACATGTAATTTTGAAAATCAGTAAGTCGGAGAAGAAGAGTATGAGTAAAAAGTCGGGAACAAAGAGAAAAATAAAACTGTAGGATCAAGTAGAAGAAAAAAACTGAAATATAAAGAAGACAAAGTAGAAAAACGTAAATAAAAAGTGGAAAAATAAGAAGTCAGAGAAAATGAAGACAACAAAATATAAATGGGTAGAAAAGGAAAAAGATGAAGATGATGAAATATACAAAAATTTAGAGCATGACGAAGAAAAAATACAAAAGATATAGCAGAAAAAGAAGAAGAGGTCAAAAGAAGATAAGGAATAAGACATAAAAAAAATTAAAGATGAATAAAATTGGAAGAAAGTGAAGAAGATGATTGACAAAGATGATGAAGAAGATGAAAGAAAGGAATGTAAGATAGTTGGAGAATAATGTGACAAAGTAAATTGTGAAAGAAAATAAAGAAAATAAGAAGGAGAGGGAAAAAAAAAGAAAAAAGAAAACCGGTAAATAACAAGAAGTGGAAATGAGATAATGATGATTAAAAAGGAGAAGAATGAGAAGAAGAGAAAAAAAATAAAAAAATAAAGAAGATGAAGAAGAAACTGCTGAAACCGATAAAGAAGAAGAAAGCTATGAAGAGGAAGAAAATTCATAGAAGAGGAATAAAGCTGAAAGACATAGAAAACAAAGTAAAAAAATATGTGAGTTTTTTTCTAAGAATTCTATTAGAATATTAAAAGAGATTGTTAACTATATTGATATATTTATTTGTATTGATTTAGAAGTGTGTTTCTTTGAGAGTATTTAAATTCAACCATTTTATTGTAAAACAGTATAAAGTAAAATAAACAATTTGTTCGACACACTTATGAAAAACAAAAAAAATCAAAAATATTCAATTTTGTTGTATTA